TCCTGATTCATAGGTTGATGCCACGCTGGCTGGGCTAGGAAACATTCTTGAATGTACAATGAGCTTTTTGATTTTCTTGTTCACTGGCTTAATCCTTCCTCCCATCCTCTGCAATTAAAAACATTAAAATCAGCCCTAGCCAGTTTGGCTCAGTGGATAGAACGTTGGCCTGTGAACTGAAAGGTCCCGGGTTCAATTTTGGTCAAGGGCACATACCTGGGTTGTGGGCTCAGTCACCAATAGGAGGCATGCAAGAGGCAGCTGATCGATGATTCTCTCTCATCATTGATGTTTCTCTCTCTCTCTCCCTCTCTCTCTCTCCCTCCCTCTCCCTTCCTCTCTGAAATCAATAAAAATGTATTTAAAAACAAACAAACATTAAAATCTGCCCAACTGGAGTGGCTCAGTGGTTGAGCATCAACCTATGAACCAGGAGGTTATGGTTCAGTTCCAGTCAAGGCACATGCCTGAGTGTCAGGCTTGATTCCCAGTGGGGAGCATGCAGGAGGCAGCCAATCAATGGTTCTCTCTCATCATTGATGTTCCTATTTTCCTCTCCCTCTTTTTTCCTCTCTGAAATCAATACAAATATATATATTTTAAAATAAAATAAAAACATTAAAATCTTACTTTAAAAGTATAAAGATAGAGTATCAAATTTATAAAAATAACTCAAATTATTATAAAAATAACCATTGAGTGCACCAGCTGGGCGGCATATATCTAATTTTTATTTTCAGTCAACTTTTATGCCTTTTTAACCTTGATATTTTGTCTTCTATTTCTGGCCTTTTCAAATATCCAATAAATGTTTTGACTTTTCATGGCTCTTATCTTAGAAAAGTACTGGTATACAGTAAGTAGTAACAAGGAGTACATTTTTTATCATATTGTTTTTTATTATAATAAGAAGAAAAACTTGGTTACATAGCAATTTTGAATCCAGAAAACTAATGAGTCCAGGCTGCCCGTCTCTACTTGAGTCAGTTAAGCAGAGTCAGGGTGAAATCATATATGAGCATTTATTCCAATAGCTAGAGGCCCAGCCTGCACCCTCTCCAATCTGGGACTGCTTGCTCCTAACCGCTCACCTGACTGCCTGCCTGATTGCCCCTAACCGCTTCTGCCTGCCAGCCTGATTACCCCTAACTGTTCCCCTGCTGGCCCAATCGCACCCAACTGCCCTCCCCTGCTGGCCTGATCACCCACAACTGCCCTCCCCTGCCGGCCATCTGTGGCAGCCATCTTGTGACAACTTGGGGGCGGCCATCTCGTGATGACATGAGGGTGTCGCCCTGAGGGCGCAAGGGCCACCTAATCTTTTATTAGTATAGATGCCTGCATATGGGAGAGCAGCAGGTCATCCACGAAAACCTGCTCTCCCACCTCCAACTAGCGGCTGAGTACAGAGGGATAAGGAAGAGAGGCTGCATGGGAGGGGGAAGGAGGGAGAGGTGGCTGCAGGGCCTGTGATCCATGTGTCTCCTTCCAGGATCTTGAAATCCAGTAACAAGACAGTTAATTTTCAATGGTGTTAAGACCCAGCTCCTCCAGTTCCTGGGACTGGAGAATGGTCAGCATTCCTGAGGCAAAGTCCCAGAGAGGGTCAGGGTCCAGGCACAGCAACCAAATCAAAGCTTGTCCTGTCCTTTGTCTGTTCTCAAAATTCATTTTCTTTTCTGAGCAGTGGACCCATCCTGGCCCAAGGTGTCTCACTTTTTACAGGTGTTTTTCTTCTTGCAGCACATCCTCCAGTTCCCCAGGGTCTGTAAGAAAACCTCTTGTCTATAGTTAGTCAGATGAATAACCATTAAACAACTGTGGCTCTATTCTTATGTGCGCCCCCCACCCCCATTAATTTACCTTTACAGTATTCATGAAACTACCTCACATATTATAGGGGTCATGCAAATGTTAGACTAAGGGAGATTATTCTTAAAGTCAGCCACTCCTATAGTAACTCTTCACTCTTTCCCTAGAGAAATTATATGACGTATCATGAAATAATGCTGTCCTTTTCTTTCTCTTTCTTTTTCTTTTTCTTTCTTTCTTTTTTTTTTTTTTTTTTTTTTTTTTTTTTTTTTTTGTGGTAGTCAAATTCCTGACTGCCCTGCACACTCTAAATAGGCAGGGGTGGGAAGTGTGAATCCACAATACACTGTTATGTAACTGTAAATGACATTTAAGTCTTCAGTTGGTACTCCTGATTTCTGCCTCCACCTCTCACTCCTTCCCTCACATACCTGCTGTCTCTGAGTCCAGAGTTGCAAAAGCATCTCAGTTTCTTCTTCTTCTCAGCACTCTCCATATGTGTGTATAGGCTGTGATTTTCTCTGCTTCGCCTCACCAATAGTCTATCATCCATTTTTCAAATTCTGTAAACTGGTTGAAATTTCTCATATGTTGAAATACTCCTTTAAAAGTTATGACATCATGCTTATAAATCAGTGTTACATTGATTTAATATGACTGGGAAATAAGAGTATTATGAAAGCATAGATTTGGTCTTTCATTTTCACTCTGGAAGTCGCCCTGAGGATATGTAAGCCTTTAAATTCCTATCATTCTTGCAGCTTCCAATCCAGGGCATAGTTAGACCTGAAGGGAACAGCACTCCAATTCTTATTTAAAAATTTGAAACAGCCAAAACCGGTTTGGCTCAGTGGATAGAGCATCAGCCTGCGGACTGAAAGGTCCCAGGTTCGATTCCGGTCAAGGGCCTGTACCTGGGTTGCGGGCACATCCTCAGTGGGAGATGTGCTGGAGGCGGCTGATCGATGTTTCTCTCTCATCGATGTTTCTAACTCTCTATCTCTCTCCCTTCCTCTCTGTAAAAAAATCAATAAAATATATTTTAAAAAAAAATTGAAACTGAACTCACCTCAAATTTACAAGTTTTTAAAAACTCATTGAAGGGAAGAGGTCATAGAGCAACCAGATAGTACAAAATCTGTGAGAGAAAATGCATCCAGTGAAAGAAGGCTCAACCTTCACCTGCACAGATGCAAAGGGAAGCATTTAGTTGGAATAGTTGTAAATTGATGAAAGTGGGAGTATGGGCTGGCAGGACAGTGAGAAATCAATGGGAGCTGAAGATAGTGGAATCTACTTCCTCTAGCATAATTTCAACATGAGCCCTACTGTGTGCTCACATAAAAGATTGGTGATAAAAATCTAAGAAACATCCTTGTGGTGCAAAGTTGGGTAAAAGAAAAGCAGCAGTGCCGCAGGGGCAAGAAACTCCACTCAGATCCTCGTCCTCATACACTGATGAACAAAACCTTCACTCTGGGAATGAATGGCACCTGGAAACTGCAGTCTGTAGTAGAGCATTGCTGAAAACTCATTGCAACCCAGGGGCTATATCAGGGTTAACAAACAAACCAACAAAACTATTCCCTTGGATTATGCATTGGGCCCACAACTACAGGCCGGGGAAGGTCAGCAGCACCGAGGAAGCTGTCACCTCCAAACCAGGAACATTATTCAGGGTTAGTACTGAGACTTCATAGGAACATTAAAGAATGGACCAAGCCCTAACCGGTTTGGCTCAGTGGGTAGAGCGTCGGCCTGCGGAATGAAGGGTCCCAAGTTCGATTCAGTCAAGGACATGTACCTTGGTTGCGGGCACATCCCCAATAGGTGTGCAGGAGGCAGCTGATCGAAGTTTCTAACTCTCTATCCCTCTCCCTTCCTCTCTGTTAAAAATCAATAAAATATATTTTTAAATATTAAAAAAAAAAAAAAGAATGGACCAAAAGACCACTTCACCACTAAGTAAAGTGGCTTCAAATCAGTAACTGCAGAATACTGTTGGGAGAAGAAGACAAGAAGAAAAAAAGTGTGCAGAGACAGCTGTACCACTTGGGGAAGACCTAGAACTCAGCACTGGAGAGACTTTGCCCTAGAAAGCCAACTCCTCTCTAAGTATAAAGTATTGAGAACGGACAACTAATGGGTCAGGGCTGCCTGTCACTACTTGAGCCAATTAAGCAGAGCCGGGTTTGAGTCATATATGAGCGTTTATTCCAATAATGCCTGCATATGGGAGAGCAGCTGGCCATCCACGAAAACCTGTTCTCCCACCTCCCACCAGTCGGCTGAGTGTATAGGGATAAGGAAGAGAGGCTGCATGGGAAGGGGAAGAAGGTAGAGGTGGCTGCAGGGTCTGTGGTCCGACTGTCTCCTTCCAGGATCTTTGATAGATCCTCCCTTGCCCCAACTGGTGGGCGGAGTATGACATAACCTGCAGCCCAGAAATACCTGAGTGACTAACCAGGTACCTTATATGGACTATACATTGGACCACCAATCCACACCTGCCAAATACCCTAAGCCCTTCTCCTATATGGACAATGCAGTAAGCCACCAATCAGTGTGTGCCCAGTACACTAAGCCCCCACCCCTTCCCATTCCGCCCCTCAAAAGGCGTGCCTACCCCTGCACGTGCTGCTGTCCTCCCCTTGCGAGACAGCCAGGTCCCTCTAATAAAGCCTATAGTTGCCAAACCGGTTTGGCTCAGTGGATAGAGCGTCGGCCTGCGGACTGAAGGGTCCCAGGTTCGATTCTGGTCAAGGGCATGTACCTTGGTTGCTGGCACATCCCCACTGGGGGGCGTGCAGGAGGCAGCTGATCGATCTCTCTCATGGATGTTTCTAACTCTCTATCCCTCTCCCTTCTTCTCTGTAAGAGATCAATAAAATATATTTTTAAAAAAAAGCCTGTAGTCCTGGTTTTCGCCCTCTGTCTGATTTTTCAATCTTGAAGTCCGATAACAAAGTAGTTAATTTTCAATCGTGTTAAAAACAACTCCAACCGGTTCCTGGGACCCAGAATGGTCAGCATTCCTGAGGAAAACTTCCGGAGAGGAGGTCCTGGCACAGCAATCAAATCAAAGTTCGTCCTGGCCTTTGTTCTCAGAACTCACTGTCTTCTCTGAGCAATGGGCCCCAACGTGTCTCTTATCGCTTTACAGCTGGTTTTCTTCTTGCAGCACATCCTCCAGCTCCCCGGGGTCTGTAAGAAAACTCTTATCTATAGTTAGTAAGTGAATAACCATTAAACAACTGTGGCTCTATTCTTATTAGCTGCCCTTCCCCACTATCAGTATTTGTACAGAAATGTGAAGCCTGAGGTACACTGAGGATAACCATAGTAGCAGCACCAGGAAACCAGCCAAACACATAAATAACTGTATTGGTTAGGTAGGAAGTCAGACCGGAGCGGCTGGGGCGGGCCTGCCCCGGGTCCTGGCAGGGGTGGGACCAGCGTGGCGCTCAGACCCCTCTCTATGGGCCGCCCAGCCGCCAGCAGGCAGGTGGGAGCCAGCCGCTCTCGGCGCCAGCGCAGAGGAAAACGTGGCCTCAAGGCCCATGCGACCTTCCCAGGGCCCTGGGCTAATTATAATAAAATTTGCATCTTGGTTGTGACCCCGTCCCCTGTGGGTTTTTCTGTATACATTATGGGTAAGGGCCTGCCCAGAAGAAAAGTAGTTTCTGTCAATCATCCCTGATGCAAATAAAAGGCTCCACCCAGAAAAGCCCTCTTTTAAACCCAGAAGCTGGGGGCCATGCTCTCTTGCCTGTGCTTCAGGGAGTATCGGCCAAGTCTTCCCCTTCCCTTTCCGCACAGGTATGTAACCCCCAACCTCTGAGGCACCCAATGAGACTTGCAACCAGGGGAGATGGGCACTGCAGCTCGCCCTGGGCTCACCCCCTGAACCTGTCCCCAAGGCCCCCTTTTCTCTGGCTTCCGACTGAGCAAAGTAGCCTGGCAGTGGTCTCACCCTTTCCCTGTTTGGAATGTAAGCAGTGGAATGTAAGCAGCCCGGCCATTCTCTCCGTCTCTCTCTCTCTGTCTCTCTCTCTGTCTCTCTGTCTCTCTCTCTCTCTCTCTCTCTCTCTCTCTCTCTCTCTCTCCCTCCCCTTCCCTGCCCCCCCTCCACACTTGGAATTCTCTCTCTCTCTCTCTCCCTCTCCCCTGCTTGCTCCCACTTGGAATTCTCTCTCTCTCTCTCTCTCTCTCTCTCTCTCTCTCTCCCCTTCCCTGCCCCCCCTCCACACCTCCACACTTGGAATTCTCTCTCTCTCCCTCTTCCCCGCCCCTCTCCCCTGCCTGCTCCCACTTGGAATTCTCTCTCTCTCTCTCTCTCTCTCTCTCTCTCTCTCCCTCCCATTCCCTGCCCCCCCTCCACACTTGGAATTCTCTCTCTCTCTCTCCCCCTCTTCCTCACCCAGCCCCCCCCCCCCCCCCCCCCCGCCTGCTCCCCACTTGGAATGTAAGGAGCCGGCCTATTCGTCCCATGCTCTCTCCAATGGCATGCACCTCGTTTGGAGTGTATCTTCAATAAACCCCATTTTACTTTACTTTATTTTTATTCTGTGTCCACAGAAAGAACCAAGGTATTTGCCTTAAAGGCTTAGTGGGCATATGTGCCCATTTCCAAGCATATCATTTACTTCAGTGTCTTTCCTGCTTATGATGCCAGCATTAATACAAAAATCACATATATGTAAAAGCAAGAATAAGTACACTAAGAATAGACAAAGCAATAGTCTGAACCAGTCGCAGATATGACACAGATGTTGAAATTATCTGGCAGGGAATTTAACAAATATGCCAGGTGGGAGGAGAGAACTGGCTGGCGGAGACATTATGGCAAAACCAGGAATGAGATATTCTTGACTCATCTCTTCCTTGGTGTGTCATGATCCAGGGAATAATAAATGAGAGCCTGGATTAGCTCCCTTGTTGGATTTTCCTTTTCTCACCAACTTCTCCCAAGCTAATGCCAACTGCCCATTCTCAGCTCAGGTTGCATGGTTGGGTCTCCTGGCAAACAACCTTCATTCTTAGGTGTTTCAAAAAATCACCTCCTAGCCCTAGCTGCTTTGGCTCAGTGGATAGATCGTAGGCCTGCAGACTGATGGGTCCCAGGTTCGATTCTGGTCAAGGGCACCTACCTCAGTTGCAGGCTTCTCCCTGGCTTGGGCTCTGGTGGAGGCAACCAGTTGATGCGTTTCCCTCACATCGATGTTTCTCTTTGTCTTTCCACACTATTAAATAAAAAAGAAGTCACCTTCTACACATAAATCCACCTTAACTCCCAACACAGGAAATCCCAAGGATTTTGGGAGCTGTGAGTCACGAAGTGTGGATGAAGACCAGATATATCTGAGAAATATTTACCGAGTCATCTGAGGTAGCAAAAAAGCTCCACCAGAGCTCAAATTCACAGAATCAAATAGTGGAACGGCAGTTGCCAGGGGCTGGGGAGAGGAAGAAATAATGTGTAACTAAACATGAAGTTTCAGGTAAGCAAGATTAGAATATCTAGATTAGAGTATCTAGAGATATTAGAGTATTTGAGTATCTAGAGCAGTGGTTCTCAACCTTCTGGCCCTTTACATACAGTTCCTCATGTTGTGACCCAACCATAAAATTATTTTCGTTGTTACTTCATAACTGTAATGTTGCTACTGTTATGAATCGTAATGTAAATATCTGATATGCAGGATGGTCTTAGGTGACCCCTGTGGAAGGGTCGTTTGACCGCCAAAGGGGTCGCGACCCACAGATTGAGAACCGCTGATCTGGAGATACTATTATAACATTGTTGGTATAGTTAACAATGTATTGTACACTTAAAATTTTGTTGAGTGGGTAGATCTTGTGAAGTGTTCTTATGACAATAAAATGTAAAAAGGTAAATGAGTCCAAGATTTCATGTAAAATGCTGAGTGTTAGGTCGAAGGGAAGTCCAGGAGCCAATGCATGCAACCACAAGGCAGATGGTGACGCAGATACTGGTTCCTTCCTGGAACCCGTAACAGACCTGCCCACGGTGGAAACTCCCACAGCTCATGCTCCCCTGCCCTCACTGAAAAGCTGTATAAAAAAACTGCCTCCAGCCCTAACCGGTTTGGCTCAGTGGATAGAGCATCATCCTGTGGACTCAAGGTCCCAGGTTCGATTCCGGTCAAGGGCATGTACCTTGGCTGCGGGCACATCCCCAGTAGGGAGTGTGCAGGAGGCAGCTGATCGATATTTCTCTCTCATCAATGTTTCTAACTCTCTATCCCTCTCCCTTCCTCTCTGTAAAAAATCAATAATATATATTAAAAAAAAAAAAAAAGTTCCTCCACTCCCTTTTAGCGCGACTTCACTGGCCCCGCCCTTGGATCCATGAACCTCGCCCGAGAGTGCAGATTAAAATTCCTCCTTTTTGACTTGCCTGGCTCTCTGACCTTGTCTCCTGGGCCGGGAACCTTACATTTGGATGTGGTAGCCAGAGGCTTAACTCAGGGTGAAGGGTCCCCAGCCCTGGTCCTGTTCCTTTCCCTTCCCTCCATTACCCCTCAATATACAGAAGAAGAGAAAAATAAACTCCTGCAGCAGGGAGGCTCTCCCAGTCCTGAGGGATGGATCTTTATAAATAACAAAATCACCCTCCCTCTGGCCCAGGCAGGGGCCATTGCCCAACAGATCCACAGGTTGTTACACATTGGACCACTGGCACTTCGGAGGTTCCTAGAACCCCTCTTCACCTCGCCCACAATGCAAGAGGCGATCACGAGTGCCTGCTCCTCCTGTCCCATGTGTGCGGCTGTCTCACCCCAGGGAGGAATGTGCCCCAACTTTCCTACCCATCAGATGAAGGGACACCTCCCAGGGCAGGACTGGCAGGTAGACTTCATCCATCTGCCTCCCCACAAGAAGACCAAGTATCTGCTTACCATGGTAGACACCCTGACAGGATGGGTAGAGGCCTTTCCCACCTGCAAGGAAACTGCTGAAGTGGTGGCTGAGACCTTAATAACATACATAATCCCAAGATTCGGCCTCCCCACCTCCATACAATCAGACAACAGCCCAGCTTTTATATCAAGGGTCGTTCAGCAGGTTAGCACCTCTCTTGGCATCTCCTGGAAGCTACACATACCCTACCGACCACAATCATTGGGTAAAATTGAGAGAATTAATGGCCTCTTTTTTTTTTTAATATATTTTATTGATTTTTTACAGAGAGGAAGGGAGAGAGAGATAGAGAGTTAGAAACATCGATGGGAGAGAAACATAGATCAGCCACCTCCTGCACACCTCCTACTGGGGATGTGCCCGCAACCCAGGTACATGCCCTTGACCAGAATCGAACCCGGGACCTTTCAGTCCGCAGGCCAACGCTCTATCCACTGAGCCAAACCGGTTTCGGCGAATTAATGGCCTCTTTAAGAACCATCTAACTAAACTCTCTAGAAATTCGCAGGTCCTGGCCGGACCTCCTGCCCATGGCCCTGACCCGAATCCGGGCTATACCAAGGAGCCCCACCTTCTTAAGCCCTTTTGAACTTCTATATGGGAGACCTTCTTGCTCAACCACCATCTCTCTACTAATCCTCCTCCCCTAGGTACTTATCTTCCATATCTATCCTTACCCAGGCAATTGCTCTGAGAACACGCCAACAGGTTTCTGCCTAAGCCAGAACCGACCAACCAGGGCTCCCAAGGACCAGCCCTTCACCCAGGTGACTCGGTCCTCCTCAAGAATCTACATCCAAAAGCCTTGGAGCCTAGGTGGACGGGACCTCACACTGTAATCCTTACAACCCCCACTGCGGCCAAACTACTTGGCGATCCTTCGTGGCACCACCTCTCCAGACTCAAGAGGACCCCGGAGCAGCATGGCTTCTATAAATGTGAGGTGTTGGGCCCCACTAAGGTCCGCCTTAGTCATCCTCCCCTTCCTCTTTCTCCTCCCGGCCCTGAGCAACCAACACCCACCCCCACCCGCTTATGTGTGGAGGTTCAAGGTCCGTGAAACCTACTACCAGGGCAGCACACAAGTCACCCGGCAGGTAGGATCTCAGGACTGCCCTCTGGTCGAATGCCAGGCGGAGATCCTGATGGCTGTTGACCTCTGGTCAGTGTCCAATGGTGGCCGACCCTATGCCTGTTTTGCTTACGACCAGCAGAACCCAGACAGGTGTAATCAAGATGTCAACACCTATGGGGGTTGCCGCTGGTCAGACTGTGTCACCCATGATGCCTATAATGAGGTCAGGTTTGGCCCCTTTTTCTGGAAGGATGGGACCTTTAACATCAGGGTCCGAGATCCCTGGGACCAGCGATGGGTTACAGGCGTTATGGGAAAACTATACGGGAGTGGTTGGAGCTTGACCCCGTCAGGGACCATCTACATCTTCCGGGAATATGTCTTGGTCCAGGAGGCCCAAGTCCAGGTCTCCAACAGCACTACATCAACGAGTCCGGAGTAGTGGAGCAAAACGTGCAGACCCTGACTAAGCTGAGTGAGGAACTACGAACGACGTGCGAGGCACTCCCGGGACAGCTCCCGGATCGCGGAGATGTCACCGGTGACTGTAAATCAGCTCCAGCTCCACCCCGACACTTGGATGCCCTCCGACCTGCCTCTGCCTGACCCTGGCCTTTAGAACCCCCCTCCCTTTTTGCCCCTGGTCAGCAGGAAGTAGCCAAGACAATTTCAGAGCCCCCTATCACCAAAAGGCCAGGATGTTAAGTCGGAGGGAAGTCCAGGAGCCGATGCATGCAACCACAAGGCAGATGGTGACGCAGATATGGGTCCCTTCTTGGAACCCATAACAGACCTGCCTGCGGCGAAAACTCCCACAGCTCATGCTCCCCTGCCCTCACTAAACAGCTGTATAAAAAAGTGCCTCCACTCCCTTTTGGCTCACCTCACGGGCCCCGCCTGCCCTTGGACCCCGTGAACCTCGCCTGGGCGTGCAGATTAAAGTTCCTCCTTTCTGACTTGCCTGGCTCTCTGGCCTTGTCTCTTTCGCCGTGAACCTTACACTGAGATTATCATGTTTGATAAAAGAACCAACTATTCTACTTAAAATTAAAGTTAAAAGATAGAAAAAAACATGCATGAAAACACATAAAAAATTGAAAGACCAATATTAATCTTCAAATAATATGAATTAATAACAAGAAATACTATCAGTAATACAGAAGGACATTTATATAATGACAAAATGGATTATATATCTAATAAGACATGTAAGTTCAAATTGTGTACACATATGTAAATAGATTTTAAACATTCTTGAAGCCAAAAGCTGTTATAAATGAAAGGCAAAATAGCCGAAACCGGTTTGGCTCAGTGGATAGAGCGTCGGCTTGCGGACTGGAGGGTCCCAGGTTCGATTCCGGTCAAGGGCATGTACCTGGGTTGCGGGCACATCCCCAGTGGGAGATGTGCAGGAGGCAGCTGATCGATGTTTCTCTCTCATCGATGTTTCTGGCTCTCTCTCTCTCTCCCTTCCTCTCTGTGAAAAATCAATAAAATATATTTAAAAAAAAAAATGGCAAAATAGACAAATCCACAGGTAAAGACTCCAGCATTATTCTTTCAGTTATTAATAACAAAATAGAAATCAGGAGTTATATAGGGAAACAGCAATACCATCAAATAACTAGTCCTAATTGAATATTAAAATACATTCTTCCCTTAAACAGTATAATATACTTTCTTCTAAAATGAACATAAAACAATGGAACATTCACTAAGAAAGATCATATTCTAGCCCAGTGGTTGGCAAACTGCGACTCGTGAGCCACATGTGGCTCTTTGGCCCCTTGAATGTGGCTCTTCCACAAAATACCGACTTCTGCATATGGGCCACGAAGTTGCAATCACACTGTATGTGCATGCCTGCATGTGGTATTTTGTGGAAGAGCCACACTCAAGGGGCCAAAAAGCCACATGTGGCTCACAAGCCGCAGTTTGCCGACCACTGCTCTAGCCCATTCCAAACCACTCAACAAATGTAAAATAAAACAATCCAAGGCATGTTCTATGTTTGACACACAACAAAATCAAGCTAGAAATTAATAAAAAACATATCTGGAAACTTACCTAAATACTTCTAAACAACCATTAGATCAAAGAGGAACTCTCAAAGGATACTTTAAAACACATCTAAACTGAGTGAAAATGAAAATACAACCTATTAAAATTTGTGGGATGAAGCTAAATCCTTGTGTGTGAGTGTGTGTGTGCACGTTTGTCTCTTTATGCGGTTTAATAATATACTGAATCATAAAAATAAAATATTTATTTTACTGTTCCATATTTTAAGGATAATTTAATCTTTTATTTTAACATTATAATGTTATGGGACAATAAAAAGCTTAGGTAAATTCTGGGACAGGTGGACTAGGGAAACTGAGGCAGGAAAGTGAAAAAAAAAAAAAAAAAGCCTAAAAGCTTGGCTGGCCCCTTGTAGCAGGAAACTTATCTTGAGAAAAAAGGGTTAAAACCTCTCCTCACAAAAGAATGCAGGAGAGGAGGGGGAAGGGAAGGGGAGGGGAGAAGGAATCTACAAATTATTCTGAAGTTGTTAAAACAGCAGGGAGGAGGGGGGCAAGAAGAGTGTAGTTTTATCTCATCCCACTGTTTAACCAAAAGCCAGCAGTTGGGATTTAATTGCCAGATCCCGCTCATAAATTGTGGAAGAACCACAACAAAAAACGGGGGAAACCTTTGGAGTTAATTTGTACCAGGATATCTAGCAGAGGAATTAAAAAAAAAAAAAACGCACCCATAGGCAGGAGGGTATATAACCCCACCCCATTCGCTCTTCAAGGTTAGCTGAGAGCCCGTCTGTGCTTCATAAACCAGATGTATAGATTTGCTTGCCTTCTTTAATAAATGTGCATGCTTTAATTTTTTTAACACATTCTCTTCCTTTAATGTTTTTGTAAATTCACATTATCACAACACAATCAAGGTCTCATAAATTATAGGAGAAGACAAGAATCCAGGGTGGGGACAGCCCTCTCCCCCTGACTGCGGGTGGTGATAACAACTCTCTGCTGACAGTGAAAGGTGCCTGTCACAAAAACATTAATCAATGGTTGCTATTCAAGATAAAACACATGCACATGTGTGTGATGAGTGTGAGTGCACCGAGGGGACTAAATTATTACTTGTTACGTGCCTTTCACTTTTACCCATGTATGTATAAGATAAAAGATAGGCATTAATTCAGAACCCCTCATCAATGATCTCTTACTCTTAAATTATGAGAGCAAGTCATATATAGGATACATAATTGTACATAAATTATATATTTTCATGACAAGTTAAACATAAAATTTGGTCTTGATAGATATTAAGTACAAGAAATTCTTGATGTATATAGAGGTTCATTCATTCAACAAATAATCCTTCACCACATAATTTCCAAATCACTTCTCTAAGCCCTGAAGATACAATAGTGAACAGCTCTATGCTTGTTTTAATCTCATGGAAATTTACATTTTAAAGAGGGAGAGCAAAAATAAAAATAAAAAAGGACATATTGAAAGTGATAAATGTTAGGTGGCTCAGGAAGTGGCATAGAGAACAAAGAGAACCAAACGGTTAAAGAGAAAAGGAAAAGGTTTTAATCTGCGTCCCCAGGCGACCCACGAACCCCAAACACAGGGCCAGTGGATTCGCGCCAACGGGAGAGGGGGGGGGGGTTCTTTTTTATGCAGGTGTTTGGTGAGGGGCGGGGCATGAGCTGAGGAAGTCTCCGCCACAGGGGTCAGCAGGGTATTCAGGAAGGAGTCAGTGTCTGTGTGGGGGTCATGTGGATTCCAGGGAGAAGCCGGTATCTGTGTCTGGCACGCTGATCTGTTTGAAATTCCAGGGAGAGTCCATTATCTCATCACACGTCTGCACGTATCTGATCCTGGGCTCTCTCCGACCTAACAATAAATACTTAGAAAATCATGAAAAGGGTATAAGGATTGCAGTAGGGCAGTAGAGGTTGTTGTGACTTTATTTTGAGTGGTTAGAAAATGCCTCACGGAGATAGGAGCTTTTGAATGAAAACTTGAAGAAGTTAGGGAGCAAGCTGTGTGGACACTGGAAGGTAAGTGTTGCCTACAAGCAGAGAGAGCAAGTTCAAAGGCCCTGAGCCAGGAGTGTGGGGGCATTTCCTGGAATATGCGGGAGGTTCTGAGAGTGTGGAAGGTGAGGTGGTGCTGAGTGAGGGTACATGAGATCAGGGACTTGAGTACAGGGAGCCAATAACATAAGGCCTTTAGGCTTTGCAAGAACTTAAAATACCTGAACCATCTGCTTCATCCCTAGAAAAGTAAGATTAATAAGAAATATACAGATGCCTAAAAAGCTCTTTTGAAGTGATTGTTAATACCAGCCTTCATTTACATATTAATGCCCAAGAGTATTTGTTGAGTGGTTACTAACAATTATACTCAGCTGAGTTGGAAAAAAGCAGATAAACTTGAATTAAGTTTGATACAAAAGCATAGATGTGTTGCCTTATAGTGAGGGCTATTACAATTAAAAAATACTTTAATTCCAGCCAAAACCGGTTTGGCTCAGTGGATAGAGCGTCGGCCTATGGACTGAAAGGTCCCAGGTTCGATTCCAGTCAAGGGCATGTGCCTGGGTTGCGGGCATATCCCCAGTGGGAGATGTGCAGGAGGCGCTGATCGATGTTTCTCTCTCATCGATGTTTCTAACTCTCTATCTCTCTCCCTTCCTCTCTGTAAAAAATCAATAAAATATATTTAAAAAAAACAACTTTAATTCCTGGCTGGTTTGGCTCAGTGGATAGAGTGTCAGCCTGCGGACTGAAGGGTCCCTGGTTCAATTCCAGTCAAGAGCACATCCCCCGGGTTGTGGGCTCAATCCCCAGTAGGGAGCATGCAAGAGGCAGCTGATCAATGTTTCTCATCATTGATGCTTCTATCTATCTCTCCCTCTCCTTTCCTCTCTGAAATCAATAAAAATATTTTAAAAAAAATAATTTAACCTGTGAGGCTGAGATGGCCCCTGTGAGACTGAGACGGCCCCTGGGAAGCTGAGAGAAATACCACATGAACTTACTCATTTATGGATAATAAGAGACATTATAAACTGATGAACAAAAATGGATACAGAGGCAGAGTGGCATTGAGCAGAATGTCAAACTACAGTGGGAACCCTGGGGAGGGTTGGGGGGAGTAGGAGATCAATGGAAAGATTTATATGCATGCATAAGAGAATAACTAATGGACACAAGACACTGGAGGGTGGGGGAAGCCGGGGGAATGTCAAGGGGGAGAAAAAAGGAGACATATGTAATACTCTTTGTAATACTTTAAGAAATTAAAAAAAAAATAAAAAATACTTTAAGATGTCCCTTTTTAGAATTAATTTGGTAATCCTTATAAAAGAATGCATTCTGGGGAGGGATGGGTGCAGGGTGGAGCGGGTCAGTGGGGGGGGAAAAAAAGGGCATCTGTAATACTTTCAACAATAAAGATACTTCTTTTTTTTAAAAAAAAAAAAAGAGAAAGCATTCTTAAAATTGTTTATTTTTTATTCATTAACAAATATTTATTGAATGTTTAGTTGTTTTTTAAAATAAAACATAAGGATCTTATAACTAATTTTATTTAAAATATTTGTTTTCATGCTTGAAATTCTCATCATGAAGAATGAATAGAATATCTTTTCTCTAGTATGGAGTAAACTGGGATCAGAATTTATTAGTCATGGACTTTGATATGAAAAATCTGGAACGAGAATGAACTAGGAATTACTGAGGACAGGAAAAAAACAAGTTACTATCCCAAAATACTATGCTAAGATATTTAATTTTTATGGTTGAATTGCAATATATAGTATATAGTAAACAGCAGGTGGAACGATAGTCCAGTGAAAACTATAGGAGAAAAGAAGCATTTAGAAGTGAGAGGTGTGAGGATTTCCCTTTTGACTTGAAA